AATCTCCCTGCCTGCCACACACACACAGATACACACACACACACACCTCTCTGCAACATCTGTTCCAGATAAGCACTTTTCATTTACTTTCAACAACAAACCATGTTTAAGTGTTTCTTGAATAGTTACAATGGCATTGAAAGTCTCAATCTCCTCATGATGCCTGAGAAACAGTTCTTCATCTGAGTTAATAACGTAATGACATAATACGGCGGGGAAAGAAGGGTCACACAATATGCGAGAGAACTCTGCTTTCCCAATAGGCTTGCCCTGACCACCATTTAAAATGGTGTCCCCCTGTAGCTCCTGATCCTCTGTACTTTGCTCTACTTTTCCCTAGCACTTGGTAGCTTTGACATATGTTAGATCTTACTGTGATTGCACTCATTGGTTCCTGTCTGTCCCCCTCCCTAAAAGCAAAGGTTTTGCAGGCTGTTTCATGGATGTTTTCAGAGCACTAAAAGCTCTGCCTAGCACTCACTCAGTAGGCACTCTATGCAATTCGTTTACTAAATGAAATAATTATCTTTCCATTTTTCTTTTCAAAGTCAATTCTTTTCTTTTTGTATATGAAAATATATGCTCATTGCTGGGAAAAAATGACAATTCTGAAAGACATAAAGAAGAAAAAACAAATTGCCTTATATCCCATTATCTGATGACGGCACTGTTATAATTCTGGTGTATATCCTTCCAGAATTTTTTCAGTGCTCACACACGCAAGCATATCAAATACATATCTTACATGTGTGTATTTCAAAGCTAGATAATACTTATTTGATATCATTGTATTATATCTTAAAAATACAATCTCTCTCGGCCGAGATACCTCTAGTGTTTTTTTATTATTGAGGTAACATCGATTTATAACATTATATAAATTTTGGGTCTACATCATTATACTTCGATTTCTGTGTAGACTACATCGTGTTCACCACCCAAAGACTAATTGCCATCCATCACCGTACACAAGTTCCCTTTTACCCCTTTCGTCCTCCCACCTATCTGTAAATTTTTAATGAAAGTTTTGTAGGGCCGGCCCCGTGGCTTAGCAGTTAAGTGCGCGAGCTCCGCTACTGGCGGCCCGGGTTTGGATCCCGGGCGCGCACCAACGCACCACTTCTCTGGCCATGCTGAGGCCACGTCCCACATACAGCAACTAGAAGAATCTGCAACTATGACATACAACTATCTGCTGGGGCTTTGGGGAAAAAAAAAAAAAGGAGGAGGATTGGCAACAGATGTTAGCTCAGAGCCGGTCTTCCTCAGCGAAAAGAGGAAGATTAGCATGGATGCTAGCTCAGGGCTGATCTTTCTCACAAAAAAAAAAAAAAGAAAGTTTTGTAAAAAGAAAATTCTCTAGAAAGCTAACATTTCCGAGTGTATACCAACTATGTAAAATATGCATAGTCAAAAAGCCAAATGCAATGGTGAAAGTAAGAAACACGGCTAAAGACTGAAATCCTTCACAAACCCTTCCTTAGTTAGAGCTCACACTATCAGCTATCCTGCTTCTTAGGTCTTCACACTTGGAATGGAACTATACCATCGGCTCTCCTGGGTCTCCTTCTGGCTGACTGCAGATCTTGGGATTTCTTAGTCTCTATAATAGCATGAGCCAATACCTCATAATAGATAAATATATATCTATCAATTTAGATATATACAGATATATCCATTGATATATATCTATTAAATATATATCTCTTATATAGATAATTATCTGTATCTATATAATATATATATATTACAGATAGATCTAATAGATATATATTTATCTGTTATAGGGGTCAGCCCCGTGGCTTAGTGGTTAAGTGCACGGGCTCCGCTGCTGGCGGCCCGGGTTCGGATCCTGGGCGCGCACCGACTCACCGCTTCTCCGGCCATGCTGAGGCCGCGTCCCACATACAGCAACTAGAAGGATGTGCAGCTATGACATACAACTATCTACTGGGGCTTTGGGGGAAAAAATAAGTAAATAAATAAATAAAAATTGTCTGTTATACAGAATTGGTTTATATATCCTATTGGTTCTGTTTCTCTGGAGAACTTTGACTAACACACTGGCGGCATAATTGTCATTGTTTTGGTGTGTGGAGAGCCTTTTGTTGTCTGGCTTATTTTGAAGATTTCTCTCTTTGGTGTTCTGAAATGTCATTACAAGGTGCCTAGGTACCTTTCTGTTTATCTTTTCTAGAATTTGTTAGGATTCATGAATTTGAGACTTTCATCAATTCTGAAAAATTCTCAGGTATTATCTCTTTGGATATTGTTTTTCATCCTTTCTCTATTATTTCCTTGAGAATTCCAATTAGACAGGTGAGATAGACACTCTCATTCTACTGATCATGTCTCCCAACTTTTCTTTCATATTTTTGCATCTCTGTCTTTCTGTGCTGCATTCTGCAGAATGTCTTCAGATTTATCTTCCAGTTCACTAGTTCTTTCTTCATGTCTGTCTAATCTGCTGCATAAGCTATACAGCAAGTTTTAATTTCTAATTTTTTTGTTTTTATGAGGAAGATCAGCCCTGAGCTAACATCCATGCCAATCCTCCTCTTTTTGCTGAGGAAGACTGGCCCTGGGCTAACATCTGTGCCCATCTTCCTCCACTTTATATGGGACGCCACCACAGCGTAGCATGACAAGTAGTGCCTCAGAGCGCACCTGGGATCTGAACCTAGGCCCCACCAGCAGCAGAGTGTGCTCACTTAACTGCTATGCCACAGGGCCAGCCCTAAATATTTTATTTTTCATTTCTAGACAATCTGTTTGGCTATTTTTCAAGTCTGCCTCATTGGTTTATAGTATCTTATTCCTTAGTCATACATAATTTAAATACTCTCATTTATTCTTTTCAAATATATTCAAAAATTCAAATATATTTAAAAATTCTGTATAAATAATTCCAATATCTGAATTCTTTGTAGTCTGATTCTGTTGTTAATTGTTTCTGTAGAATCTTTCTCATAGTGGCTTATTTCCTTGCATGTTTTATGATTTTTGGTTGTGAGCTCATGTTTTTAAAAACTTTTCTTTGGAATTACCTAAGACCTGAGTTAAAGTATTTTCCTCTACATAGGCTCTAAATTTGCCTCTACTGGGTGTCTAGGGGCACTACCAAATTGGCTAGCTTTAAATTTGCAGCATGCAATTTTTCAGACTACAAGGACTACACATTTGCAAATGTGCAAGCTTCCACTTTTGCTAATAAATGATCAGGAGAACGTTTTTCCTCTTTTCCATCCAAGGCAGGGCCAAAATTGACAAATATCCTTACTGTCTTCCTTTAAGGCTGGGGTTTTGCCACATTACCCTTTGACTGAACATGTCATTTTTCAGCAGTCTAAACTTTATGCTGGGGACCCAATCTGATTTCCCACCTTAAGTGAGTCTTAAGTTTCTTCCATTGCTCCAAGAACACAGCTCTTTAAAACATAAGCTATAAGTCACTAGGGAACCCAAGGAAGCCTCTGGGTATAGCAGTCACCTGCCTCTAGGTTTGTGATTTCTCATTGTTCTGGGCTTATAAAGTATTCTCTTACTTATTTGCCAATATGGACATTCATTTCAAAAGAGTTTTGAAAATATTATATCGTACATTTTAGCACACTGTATACTATGGCTTTTTAACGAACATTAAGTCTTCCATAGTGCCAGAAAAGGAAGTTCTGGTGAAGGTTCAATAACTTCTTATCCAAGCAATAATAAGATATCTATCTCACTCAGTCACAAAAAACAGATGTGCAACAATGTAATTGCATTATTCTTTAACAGAACTTATTTTAACTCACAGATCTTCATTTTTGCTTCACAGCAGAAAACAGTCTTGTGATTCAAAGCAAAATCATTCACTTCCATGTTAAAATTTATTCTCTCTAGGGTAAATTTCCAACCAATTCATGATCATCCACAGGATTCATTCCTCCCTGTGGTGTAAGACCTAAAATTAAGGCTCCATATTACATGCTGCCCTGACATCTGGTAAAACTGGGAGGACTTCAAATGGCTTAATCATAAGTTTTCCTTCCCATTCTGCTCCCAGGGATAAGGTACCCTACCCAAATAACCCTCCTTATCATAGGGAAGGCATAATTTCTGCTTATTCCTGAGTAGCAGTTTTCAGTTTCTTGCCAGCCTGTGGAATTATTCAAACAGGCAATCATATTCTAGTGGGAACTAGGAGGTACCACAATCTTTTGTTACTATAAAGTCTGCCTCCTATAGCCCTTGGTTGTTCGCTCTGTTCCTGAGTACAATCCCCATGTGGCCCTGCAGGGTCTATGGTGTCCTTATCCCTGAACTATGAATATTTGTGACTAATAAACTGCTGTGGATTTCATCTCTCCAGTGTCAAGTGTTGTGTGTTTAGCCATCTCCATATCCCCAGGGCAAGAATCTCTCCCACACCAACAGGGTGAATAGCAGGCAATAAAAATCATTGGTGTCACAAACCACGTGACATGCCCAACTATGACTGAGGACACCTGATCAGCTTTAATTAAATGCTCTTGAGTAATTTAACTGGTTCTGTGATATGGCAAAGGCTGCCTGAGACAGAACTGCTAATTGCTGGCAGGCTTGGGCTATGTGTGGTATTCTGTTGTCTTTGTCAACCATTGCCATCTCTTTTCACCCTAAAATGCTCTTGTCTCCAAGATGAGAATTGTTGTTCTTTGACTATACACTGGCATAACCTGGTGCTGTCAAGTTTAGCCTGTGTTTGGCAGGTAGTCTCTGAGGCTCCCACCTGTAAAGGCTATGAAAACACAGTGCCTTAACCAGTCAGTGCTCCAGTGCTGCTTACCAAGGGTCAGGCTAGTCTAGTGACCATCACTGACCGCTTGGGGAAGCTATACAGACTTTGTTTCTAATTGTGCATCTCTGGGACAGTCCCAGAAACAGCCCTTTGTGAGGTTTGTAGAAAGGAAGAAGATCACCATCCCATAGAGAATTAAGTATGGCATCCTGGTTGCTGTTGTTCATGCAAGGGTAATGACCTTGCTTGTCTCCTGTGTTGCTGCTTCCCTTGCTGCTGTTGCTTGCGCTCTCCTGACCCTCAAGGGCATCGAGGTGCACATCCATGGCAGCCTGTGGCCCAGGGGCTGATGAAAAAAAGAAGGGTGGGGAAAGGAAGGAGTATTTGGTACTCAACCACTCTTCCAATGTAAAACCCATAGTCAATACACCTAGACTTTGCTCAGTACTGTCCTTACCAGCACACCAGAGGGCTAATCTTGCAATCATGGGCAGTATGGCCTCCATCCAAGGCATAGACAAAATGACTTTACCGATGTAGACCCTGACCCCAGGAAAACTGGCATTTCCTGGAGGAAGAGGCAGCCACCTGCAAGGAAGGCCACCAAGCCCCTGAAGCTTTCCCCATAAACACTCAGAAGGTCTGCACCACAGGTGATTGTGCAAACAGAAACTGAAAGCTGCAACTTTATGTGGCTAGAAACCCAAAATCATTCTCCAAGAATTTGTACAGAGAAAAACAAAAGAGGCCCATATGACAGAAAGGGTGGGGTTATAGCAGAGGATGGTTTTGATCCATCAAGTCTGGGTGGTAGGCCCAGTTTTCTTCCCCTGTACCATTCTGCTGTCTATGTGTCTGTTGCAACAAAGATCCTAATCCTCAGGATTATAGGGAAACACTCACGGCACCCCTGTGGCACCATGAGGAGGTTAATTCAAACCCAACTTAAGCCCAGAGTCTTTAAACCATATAAATCAACCATTACTATGGGGGAGACCCCTAACTCTGATGATACCTATTTGAGGTTATCTGGAGGAAGAAACTTATAAATATGATAGGGATAGAGATCTCTCCACTTTGCCCACAAGTATATCCAGTGACCAACTACAATAAGGAAAACAAAAAAATGGAAAGAAAGAAAAAAACCTGGATACAGGGAGAGAAAACCAACAAAAAACAACTTAAAGGCCAATAACTTGACCAAATTGGAAACCCAAAATTTACTAAAAGAATTTTATACAGAAAATGATGAAAGGACACTGATTGGCTTTTGTGCCTGTATAACATAGGGTTTGAATTAACTTTAATGTCTGCTGACATTCACCAACTAGCAAAGCTTCATGAACTTAACCAATACTAAGGCTAAACTTGCAGTTATACCTGGGGATCCTACTAAATTTAAACATGGCATACCCCATAATGGGGGATTTACTTAAGAAAATTACTGAATATAAAATAGAAGACAAATAGGTATGCCTCATCTTAACCATCAGAACTCTTATCTTGCTGAAATTCCCCATGGTTATAGCTCTCATTGCCCTAAAATATCCGTTAGTGAGTATGGACGCTCTGACCCAATGAAAAATAAGTAAAAATTAAATTAAGTTTTGGACGTTTACAAATTGGCTTGACAAAATGAGAACCCATGACCCATCCCCCCACCCCACCCCCAAAAAAATAGTTAACATGACTCAGTGTAATTTAAAACAGGGTCTTCAAGGATTAAAACTTGTTATATGTTATATAACAGGTGGTGAATGAAGGGTGATTAACCCCACTGCTTCTCCACTTAACAGCCCTATTTGGCCTCTTCTTAAACTTGGAACAAATGACTGATACCCCATAGGGGATTGCTGCAACAGTAACATCATGGTTCCATCCCATTAAGGCCTCTACAGCCAAAAACCTAATTACTAAAATTACTGACTCCATCCAATCAGCAACTGGTAAATATTTTGCTACTATAAATTTGGCTAATACATTCCGTTCAATGCCTATTTTAATAGCCTCTAAACCACAGTTTGCCTTTACCACTGAAGGAACACAATACACCTGTACAAGGCTACTCATGAGATACCTCAGCAGTCTTGCCGTTGCACACAATCTTTACAGGCAAGACCTTAACTATATCCATCTTTCTCCAGGAGCACAGGTATGACATTACAATGATGACATCCTTCTCCAAGGAGCTTTGTTTGACATACTCACTAAAGATGTACAAACAGTCACAAAGGAGCTCACGAAAGGGGAGGGATCATTGTCCCACACATAGTGCAAGGCCCTGCCACCTCCATTAAATTCTTGAAAGTTATTTGGTAAACCAAAGGTTGCTCCATCCTGACATTCTCAAGAAACAGGTATTGATCCTCTCAGCAGCAAAAGGTTAATACAAGTCCAACATCTTTTTCTCCCTTTTGGGTTCTGGACGTAACATATTCCTCATTTACAAATTTTATTTAATGTCACTGATGCTGCTACTTACAAATTAGTCCACCTTGAAGGCAGCCCCCACCAACAAAAGGCTCTAGAAATCTATCCAAATTGAAATCAACAAACACTCCAGTTTATGCCCTCAGAGACCTCTTCACTATAGCGGTTTCAGCAACCTTCTCTCAGGGTTCCTGGAGTCTCTGGACCACCTATGATGGTCATAAGTTGCCCACGGGCTCTGATGCAAGAAATTGCCTTTCTCAGACTTGCATTATACACCATTAGAATGGCAATTACTGGCCACAGACTGGGCTCTTCTGGAACAGAGGCTCTCACAAACCTTGAGACTGTGACCCTCAGTACCCAGCTACCCATTATGCCTTGAGTTACTGAAGCAGCACCCCAAGAGCTTGGCGTGGCTCCTGAGCCCTCCTTGCTATAGGATGGATTCAAACCTGGGTCCTCTGGCATATTGCACCTGTAGGAGGGGGTGGCCTGCCCTGTCCTCAGTCCCTTGACAGATGCCACAGTATTAGAAGAGGTCACCCCACTCTCAGAGCCCTTGGCTATCTGGGGATCCCCTTAGGATCAACTTAATGAACAGCAATCAGAGTTCATATACTTTATTAATGATATCACCACCATGAGAAATGATGGTGCTCAGGAGAGCTGCTGCTTTTCATCCCTTAACTAGAATGTCCCTGATAAAGGGGAGAACCCAAGGGTCAGCATAAATGGCACACTTCAATGTGTGCCAATCAACAATTGGCCCCATCTGTACATTTTTACAGATTCTTAGGCCATTACCTACGAGTTGCCCCCTTTAGGGTAAAGAACTTTGGGAATCTCTTGCTTCACAGATACCCAAAATATAAATCAAGGTAATAGATTTCTCTACATATACTAAGGCCATGATACAAGGCCTCACCAGGATACTCCTTAACCCCTTCAGAGTTCTACCACTGATAGTGACCAAACCACTCATTTTACTTCTCAGAATATACAGTGCTGGGCTCTTGAAGAAAGCATTCAATCAAACTCCCACCTCCCCTATAGGACACAGGCAGCCAGCCCCAGGCAGCCAGTATAATCAAGAGGCTTATTTAAGAACTTCTGTTTAAGCCACAAAATGGAAAATTCACTCCCATTCCCTGGGGATACTCACTCCCAACACCCATGCCACACAGATCTCTCAATTGCCTTTACTGGCTATAAATGGGGACACCTCTGAAGTTCATATTTTTTATGACAACCTCACCATGTAGCTCTCCCTGTCCGAGTCAGATGCCTACTTTGCTCCCTAAAAGTCTCTGTCATCATTAAGGTTTAAATAGATGTCAAGGCATCAAGGGGTCAATTGTGGCATAAGGCCAAAAATTAAGGATTGGTATTATGTGCAGCCTTGACATTTGATAAAATAGGCCTCAAAAGGCCTAACCCAAGCTCCCCTCCCTACTCTGCTCCCATGGATAAGGTCCCTTCACCAAACAACCCTCCTTATCAAAGGCACCAGGCACAATTCCTGCTCGTCTCTGAGTAGTGGGTTTCAGTACCTGCCTGTCTGCAAAATTATTCAAAAACAAACCAATCATATCTTCCCACTGCAACCAAAGGCACCCCACCCTCTTAACACTGCAAAGCCTGCCTCCCTCAGCCCTGGTTGTTCACTCTGTTCCCAAGTGCATTCCCTGTGTGGCCCTGCATAGTGTCCTCCTCCTCAAGGTGGTGGGTTTATGTGACTAATAAATTGCTGTTGACCTCATCTGATCGCACCCGTCCAGGGTTGGGTATCGTGTGTTTAGCCATCCCCATAACCCTAGGGTGGGAATCCCTCCCTCACCAATGGGGTGAATAGGGAGTGATTAAAATGCCCTATCACAATTACCACTTTCCTTTCTCTCTTGAAATGGAGCCTTAAGTACAGGAAGGACAAAGCATCAGGTTCACATACGTCCTGCATCCACGCTGACCTCCTTGAGTTGCAATGTGTCCTATTTTGTCATTGTGCACTGGGACCCACTGCTCTTGTCTCAATATAACTATAACCTCAGGAAGAGGTATGTGCATCTGCATCTTCTTTGTTTCAACTCTAGGATATTTAGGGGCTGTGGCTATTTAAATCACTCTGTGCCCTCCTGGAGGTCATTTCAGTCTCTCTCCTGCACCCCTCTGAGGGCCTGGGGACTCCATGAGGCACCTCTGTCTAGGGTTATACTAGATATGGAGCTTCTTTCAGGTGCTCAGTTTCCCTGAGAATTAAAGCATAGTCCTCTCTGCTCTTGGATTTCCTAAGCCCATCCAAATTTCTATTGCTTAATCCCCCTCCAGCTCAACTCAGTGAGCTGGGGTCCTAGGCACCTTCCCAGAGATTCAGATAATGCCTAGGGCCTCATCATATCTTTAATTCTCCCACCGCAGTCAATGATTCAATTCTCTTCCCAGAAACATAAAAACTCTTACGTTGTCATACACTTGCTTCTCACTCAAAGGTTTGTTCTCAATTCTCCAGTTTCAAAGAGCTCAAAAAATCTTTTCTCTCAAAATGTCAGGTTATTTCCAGAGACAACTTTGACCTTCAAGACTATAGCTCTTTGTTCACAACCAATCAGAAACTTGAGTGAACTCTTGTTCTAGATTATGTGTACCATTCCTCAGCAAATAGTGTTTACAGAAAGCATTAAAGGAAATGTAAAGGAGTAAAGAAATCTTGGTTGATAATTAAAATAATTATCAGCTATACACATTTAAAACAGCTACCCTTAATTGAGCCCTTACTTAGCTAGGTAGTACACTGCTTTATATACATTATCTTATATAATCCTTACCACAAATGTCAGAGATATGGGGATGGGGAGGTTATCTCCAAAACTCAAGTGAGACAACTGAAATTGAGTCTGCCAGATGTTAGGAACTTGC